TAGAGGATCTTAATTTTATTTTGAACCTTAAATTACCAGTCCTGTATACTAAATAATAGGCTTAGGAATAAGTTTTGCCCCTAAGCAATGGTGGCTTCATTTTAACCACCCTATCCTAAACGTAAGATAATAGGTTAAAGGACAATGGCGAAATAATAGGTGATGGAATTATGAAGCGTCTACTTAAGTCACCATTATAGATATCAATAAAATAATTTTCTTTGTTTTATCTAATCAAGCTTATGATCATTCGAAGTCTGAAAAAAAATCGTCTTACCTAATTTAAAACTAAATTTCATAGTTGTTGTGGCAAATTGTTGATGGAATTATTAAGAGTCTACTTATGTCACCATTACAGATATCAATAAAATAATTTACTATGTATTATCTAATCAAGCTTATGGCCATTCGAAGTCTGGGAAAAAATCATAATACATAATTCAAAACTTAATTGACTAGTTGTTGTAGTTGTTACGAATCGTCTGATAAGACAGGCAAAGGTCTTATACCACAGCCGAATTTGACGTGTAAGTTATTCAGAAAACTTCTATATATAAATCAATGCGTTCTTTAAGGATTCCCTTTATTCTAATAATTACCTTATATAAACCTATATGAAAATTATATTGACTAGTTGTTATAACGATTTGCCAATTAAGGCGATTTATACCATACAGCCTAGTCTGATGTGTATTGTCTTTAATTCCTGACTTCCTGCAGTAGTATGACCGCAGAAAAAAATGTTCAGGATTTTAAACTCTACATTTTTACATATTTTGCATTTGTAGACGCAAGAAAAAAAGTCACCTAAAATTTGTTAGGGAGTTCGCCATTGTCCTTTGCAAGAATTATCTAAAAATTCCACACTTCTCTCTCATAAATAGAGAATCATGATAATAGAGATTTGAAAGATAAAATTGTATAATTTTATAAGCCTAAGTGTGCATCCACAGTGCAAACCTAGCAAGCATGAGCGAAATAGCGTGCGTAGTTTTCAAAAGTTACTATCCGCGCGTTATGACCCTACTACGGTCCTAGTCAACAAGCGATCCAATGCGCGACTGGCGGAGGTATTAAAAAAGTTCGGCGTAAGAGAATCTTCAATGTTTCTTATATGATTTTAGGTGATTGTTTGCTCAAGATATATTAGATGTTCACATAATGCACACTGCTGGGTACCCATAACACAGTCTGAATGTATGGGTATCATCCAAGTGGTCATAGCAATAGATGCTAGAAAGATAAAAGATTTCTCCATCAGAATACTGACCGACAGTATGGCAGTACTACAAGCTCTGAGTTGTAATGTGGCGAACTCGGGACTAATATATGAATACCATCAATGATTAAATGAGGTGTGTAAGCACAACAATGTGACTGCAATGGATTAAGGGACACAGTGGATCTAGAAGCAACGATGCAGCAGATTAACTAGCCAGAAGGAGATCGGCTCTGGCCACTGCCCGGAACTAATAATACCAATCTTCTTTGGCTATGTTTGTTCACTGCTATGTAGAAACTTACAATTTACACGTTCAACTTTCAAAAAATTTAGTGGACTGTAGTAGACAAGCTAGGAAGGCCCTGACTGAAATAAGCAGTTGCCTAACCAAGGTTCTAATGAGACTGAATAAGCCACAGATCAGGATAGTAACAAGTGCTATCACAGGACATGGCTCTTTTAACAAACATTTGTTTACCATAGGTGTTCCAGATAGCCCCCTGTGCAGGGCATCCATGGGGGAGGAAGAAACGGCTGCTCAGGTGTTGCTGACATGTCCGGAGGTTGCTTCATACAAGGCTAAACATCTCGGCACGCCGGGATCGCTCCCCAAAGTTGCTTGCAACATCAAACGACTGTTGAACTTCTTCATGGCTCGAATAAGTTAATATTATTCCTGCCTCCACGCAAAATGCGCGCTTAGACGTGGAGTTGCGGAAAACAGCCCGCCGTAAACTAAACTACTCAAGATATAATCAAATGTTGACATGAACATTCAAGCATATGCAAAGAATTTTCTAGCAACAGCCCGTATTTGCCACGCATACACTGTGGACGCACACTAAGGGTAATCCAAAATCACCAGACAATTTGTTAATAATATTGCTACACAAAATGTACATGTCATATGTACAAATATTATTAAATTATTATAGGCAGCTATATTTCTAGGCAACTGTGCAAACAGCATGATAAGTGAGATCATAACCTTTCTATGACATATATTGATATGAGAATTTATTAATGTAAGTATGTATACAATAAAACTGAAATAGTTACAGTTAATTTTACTATACAAAATTAGAAATGTTTTTTTTATCAATTTTATCGAAGATTAGCAATCTGCCCTGGCTTCAGACAGGTGATTTCTGGATTTCAACAACAGCACTACCTACCGAGTCTAATTGATATGTGTTTAAACAATCCAGGGACCTTCTCAAACATACACAAAAAAAATCATCAAAATCGGTTCAGACGTTTTTGAGTTTTTGCAAGATTAATGGACAGTGACTGATTTTTATATATATTGTTATGTCATTTATGATTTCAATAAGTATTATTTATAATCTGAATAAATAATGCTTTATAAAAAGTTAAAAAAAAAATGAACAGTTTATAATCATCATACAAATTATATTACAGACAAGAATATGTGGAGTCGAGGAGTGCTGATTCAGTATTAGAACAGATTCATCAACTTATCTTATTCTATAAAGTCAGGTTACCCTAAACTCTGCTATGATAATAGTAAACTTTGTTTTCTGAGAAACTTCTTGATTACTATTCACTGTGAATAAATTCTTGACACAAATGGATTGTCTGAGTCTGAGTGATTAACTTTTTTAAGGGAGTACCAATATGTAAAAAAAAAAACTAGTTGACATATTTGTGTTTCATTATATGAAATTTTTAATTAAATTTATTTTTATCTAATTATTTCAAAACACATTTCTGAGATCCAAAAGCAGCGTAAAAGGCATAATTAAAATCAAGTACAAGTACTGACATCCATAGTCAACCCTTTTTATTTAATCTTTGTTGAATAAAGTTTATGAAGTTTAGACAAAATTAGTGTGTTTTCTAAGATTTTATTGTAAAAGCATAAACATTGCCCCAATAATGAATTATTGACTCTTTAGAATCAAGCAGAGTTAGTGAGGGATAAATCTTATTTTTGCTAGTATAAAAAAGTATAAATTACAGACTATAATATATATTCCATTCCAAAGAAATGTCCTCTACTAATTTCTGGTAGGGTTTTAGGGCAAGGAAGTGTCTCCCATGTTACCTGCTGCTTTAAATGTCATCAAAATATTTTTAACTTCCTGCTAAGAAAATTGAAAATTTTCAAAAATAGGGAAGTTATTGGTTTCACCCTGATTTTCGAAAATCGAGTTTTCATCAGATCTCGACGTTTTGAGATCCCAGAAGGCTAATCTGACTAACTTCATGTGTAGTCTGTATGGATGTATGTATGTGTATGTGCAAGATTTTGAGAAATCTCAAAAATAAAAATTTTGAAAAACTGTTTCATTGGAATTACTTTTAAACGGCTTTACCCATCGATTTCAAAAACTAATCTGCTCTTAACCACAAAAAATGACATTGAATGCCGTTTGGAAAATAAAAATTGGTTCATTTGCTCGTGAGATATCAAAGGAGAAAGAATTTGAAAAAAGTATGTAACCTTTTCTTTTGTGTGGGTTTGGGATTTAGACTCATATTGATGTTTCATTGGAATTACTTTTAACGGCTTACCCATCGATTTCAAAAACTAATCTGCTCTTAACCACAAAAAATGACATTGAATGCCGTTTGGAAAATAAAAATTGGTTCATTTGCTCGTGAGATATCAAAGGAGAAAGAATTTGAAAAAAAGCTTTTTAAACATAACTTCGAGATTTCGCAACATAATTTGGTGAAATTTGGAGCACTTTGCATTTGAAATTAGCGGGAAGTTCCAGGGATGGCCTGCAGGGTCAACCAATTTTTTTTTAATTTCTCAGACATGCATGTTTCTTTATGATATTTTCCTTTGCCACAATTATTGTTTTATATATTATAATATATAAAACACAAAAAATATTCCAACCTATGTCCGTTATAGACTTTGAAACCGTCTAAACAATTTTAATGAAATTTTTTGTGTGTTTAAATAGGTCCCTAGACATATTCACACTTGAATCCCGTGAAAGAACATCAATACTACCGAGGATGATATTTGAAGCTATTGAAATTCAAAAACATCTTAATTTCAATAGGAGGCTGGATACTACCACCTGCTTGGGACCCTGTAATTAATAAAATTAAACTGAACCCAAGCATACCACTGCAAGACTTCAAGACACAGTCAGTAAGTTCATTCTGTGTAGATTGAACCATAAATAATAATTAAAAAGCTGAAGGTACTCCATGTTATCCTCAGTCCCCCGTGATCACCCAAAATGGCGGGAATTAATAATCAAATAACGCGATAAAATCCTTTAAATAAATGTGTAGTGTTCGCGTAAATATAAGAAATCATTACGATATAGACTTTTAAAAGAAATGACGTTATTAACAATTTAAGTGTAAATGTGTTAATTGTTACTTGATTACTCATAATAATGAAATCTATGACTTCGTAATTTTATTATTATTTCAAGTCAATCTGTGTGGTATTAATTCACTCGGAAACAAAAAATAAATAAACAGGATACGAAGTAATCACTTTTTGATGGCAGCCTAAGCGAGTAATGCAAGTACCAACGTCCTGAATTTGTTTTTCGAATTTGAAAGCCGATGCTAGTTACGTATAAAGATTGTATACTAACACCATAAAAAGTGGCTATTACCCAAAAATTGACGATACGTTTTATGCGTACTTAAGCAAGTAGGTAGTATGCTTAAAATTGTTAAAAATATCTCGTGGCAAATAAGAGGGTCATAGTAAAAACAAGTTTTAGGTATAGTCACCATGAAGAAATTCCATTAGATATGCTTAAATCTATAATCTTACCTTGTTCGTCGGCTGGCTTACTTAGACAAATCGATAATGATAACAAACATACAAATATGACTTTCTTCATCTTAATGCCTCTTTTTTATTAGGCTAATGAAAATTTGTTAAAAATCTACAGCAAACGACCGTCGCCACAAATTTGTAATAAAATGAAACACACACACTTATAGGCAAAGCAGCGGCAAAGAGAAAGAGTTAGGCATGTCGATCTAAAATCGATTAATCGAAAAATCGATTCTTTGGAGTAAAATTATCGATTTTTTAGATCGATTCGAAGCACCACATCGATTCACTGAATCGATCCAAAAACCTCTTGAATCGGACTGATTCATTTGATTCAAGAACTAGCTAAAATTCCCAAACTGGCTGGGGTAAGATACCACAGTTTTTTAAGTTTTTGCTGTTGGGGGACGCAAAAACAATCGGTCGTACTTGGTTGATAATTTGAACGCAATATATACAATATGTAACGTAATTAACGCACACCCTCAGACACCCCAATTAGTATATTATATTATAATCATAATACATACAATTTTAGTTAAACATTTTTATGCACTGATTATTTATCAAATTAGTTATACTAATTCCGCAAGAATGTTGTGGTCACAGTACAAATCCACGAACGCAAAGACTTTAACTTGCTTGAAATAAAGTTCATTTTTCTTTATTTTTATTGAATGACAGAATTAGTAATAATACAAATAAAACTGCACTCTTAAAAAGTCTTATTGCCTTAAGTTACGGTCCATCTCAGCTTGTTTTGACTGTACAGATTTAGTGTGACTGTGATTTACATACTTTTAATTATTTTTGGGATAAAAAATTACCTATATTAAAAATGATAGGAATCTATTCAGTAAACGATTCTGAACAAACTACTTTCTCAAAGTGCGTTAAATATGTTACATGTTGTATTTGAATAAAATAAATGTTTATGAACGCATCCAACAACATCGAAAAGTTGTCATTTCACCTTCATTTCTAAAAATTCTTAAGCCCACTTTCCACTAAGGGATATAATGTAATTTATGTTACATCTCGAGATATAAATTAATATCGCTCACCGTACTTTTAAATGTAACCGTTTCCACTGAGATGTAATATATATTACATCCTAAACTAGAGCGTTAACCACTGAGCCGTGGTAGCTCAGTGGTTAACGCTCGCTGTAAATATAACAGAACGCAAGTAACCCGGGTTCGATCCCCCCCCCCCGGCACCAATGAAATTGTTAATTGTAATTTTAAGTGCTGATTTACCACGTGCTCGGCGGTGAAGGAAAACATCGTGAGGAAACCTGCATGTCTGAGGAATAAGAAAAAAAAAATATTTCGAAGACATGTGAAGTTCGTCAACAGGCATTTGGGCAGCGCGGCGGACACTTCCTCGCCCTAAACCCTCTCAGAAATGAGGGGAGGCCTGAGCCGAGCACTGGGACGTATATAGGCTGTAACTTTACTTTACTTTACTTTACCTAAACTATAAATATTTTTTCGATCGACCGAGCGATATTTTCATATTATACTTCACTTCCTGTACTATAATATTATAGCTGTGAACCGTGAACTTGTGAATTTACATTATTTATTATCAAAATTATACATACTGTGAGCTGTAAGTACAAACAGAGTACTTTTTAAATACCTAGATACTGTAAATAAATCCGTACGTTGAAGTTTATAGAGGTTTATAGTAAGGAAATAACCAGTATTGTGTTCGTGTAGCATTCATTTCAATATGATAAATAGTGAGTTATTAGATTGAAACAGATTTATCGAGAAATCATGCAGTTTGCACTTTTGTTCAAGTATTGTTGTTGTTTTTAGCCTAAAATGTCAAATAAAAGTGTTACGTGGAATCACTTTTTAAAAAAAAAGTGATCGAGTGGAGTATGTGCTAACCACTCCTAACACAAGCGTTTCAAGCTTACCAGGAGTGGTTAAAAGGAATATTAGTAATGTTAATAAATAAGATTACTAATATTTTATTTAAAAAAATATTACAGTTTAGAAGTTAAAGAAGAAAAATAGAAAATTCTTGAAATTTCGTTTGAAAATGTCGCGATTAATCGAAAATCGATCTTTTAATCCTCGATTTAATCGATAATCGATTCAAGTACCTTCGATTCAAATCGATTCGGAGATCGATTTTTTTAAGAGCGAATCGACATGCCTAGAAAGAGTGAGCCAATGTTGCCAAGTCAATAAAACAGACCACGGAATGGCTTTTGGCGGGAAATAAGCGATTTAAATACTCTGGCGGGAAATTGACCGCCGTGGATTGTTGCTCCCGTTTTATGGTTAAAATGGCTTACATTGGAATTCGGTAGATAAAATAAATACGATTTTAAATTATAAGTGATAGCACATGAATTAACAGTGGAATAGATGTCATAGTTCCTTCGATAGTAATTTAAATATCAAGTACCTATATTTATTTGCTTAGATGGCTTGATACACAATCGTTATCCACTGTCAGCGGCATTGAGATATTTTCAAAATATCCCAATAACTTTGCAAGGTGACGCATCAGCATATTTCAGATAATTTTGTGAATAAACTGTGTTTTTAGTGAACCTTCAAGTTCTAGCAATATTTCAATTATGGAGTGTAGAAGTAAAGGAGTACAGACAGTGTATTAAAAAGTGTAGGTAGAAAACCATTATATAAAAGTGGCGCCACTATAGCTACGGGGTAAATTTTAAAGAATGCGCCGAAATATATTAGTGGGATAAACGACTTTTTCGAGGTTATATTTACTAAATAAAATTAGTTTAGATTTTAGAGCTACTGAGCAGTTTAGCAGCACACTTACACCGTCAATAACTGCTAAGTTCATTTCATGTAGCTGTTTCATGTAGCTACTCCAGAGCTGTTGTGGAGAGTTTTTGAACTGTTATTTGTTACTTACAGATGGACACTTTTTCAACTATTCTCCTATGAGAGATTGTTCACCTTACCTCTACACTCCATAATTTAAATTTTTTCATCACGGATTTCTAAGAGTTTTACATTTACATTTTCAATATACTCTGTGTAATTTACATTGTTGTTCTCATACGATTGGAGTTTTGGCGGAAACTTGACCGTCGACGAATTGTATTGTTTAAATAATGTTTTGAAGTGGATTTACGTAAGAGTGATGTGATTTTGTGTATTAAGCGTTTGCACATGTGAACTATTAGAGAAATCGATGAAACAAGTGCTTCGATAAGTTATTTTGATTGCTTAGGCTCTTTATGAACTTGAGTGACTGTCGTCACTGACTGTCCGCTGGCTTGAGATGTCACCAAAATCTTCTAAAAACTTCGTAACGTGACGCATTAGCATATTGTATTTTTTATTTTTATTTTTATAAAAACGAAAATCCCGAATAAAATGAAGACATGACTTAAAAGAAAAGCATCCAAGCCTTTCATATCTTACAGCAACCAAATCTAAGAAATACCTTTTGACGTTTCACATTAATCATTCTGCAATAACTTTGTACAAGCGTACCTACAGGATTTAAAATAACCTTTTACGTAAATCCGAAGAATTATGAAGTTATCTATATTTCATTACAACGTGTATAGTCTTTTATAAATAATTTAAATTAGAATCTTTCAAACAAAGCAAAATATTAAAAAATAAACAGTATCAGTTTTTTTTACTTGACGTCGTTTCAATGATATATCACTATCTAACTTACCGTAGAGTTTGGACGATTAAAATTCATTGTTATGCAAATAATCGGCAAAAATATTCAAATAAACGAATAAAATTCTTTAAATTATATGAATTATGAATAACACAAGTTTATTTTTTTTACTTTGTCAACGTAAATTTGTGTAGGCAAAAAACTCATATAATACAAGGCCGCGCTGAAAAAGCCACTACGTAATTTCAATCATCCGCTATTTCGGGAGCTTAATGTGCCTTATTTTGTGATTTTGTATTTGTTTTCTTATTTTGTGACTCGGCTTTAACTTTTTGAACTGTTTCTTCTATATTCATTGAAACATGTGCCCATGTCACAAAGGATGATTGTGCAAAAGTGGTAAATTTTTGACTGCATTATTGAAAATCAAATAACAATTAATCTTAACAACGATTGTACTGCAAGTGATTGAATAAATTTATTTTTAATCTAGTTTCATATAGTACCTATCTAAACTCTAAGTAATCGATATCGATTTTTTTAGAATCGAATATTGTATTTGGTTGGCATGCTTGGTATAATAAGTCTGACAGCTGTAAAAATGTATTTCTTAGATTTGGTTGACTATAATAATTTAAATTTGAATCTTTCAAACAAAGCAAAATATTAAAAAATAACCACTATCAACTTTTTTTTACTTGACGTCGTTTCAATGATATGTCGCTATGTACATTACTGTAGTGTATGGATCATGGAGCTTAGAGAACAGGAGAACGATCGCTACGTACTAAAGGATAGCCCGCCTCTCCTTGAAAATTGTAGAATATATAGCGGCGCTGACGTCGGTGAGTAGTGACTGTGAAGTTAGCTGTTTATGAGTACAAGTGGATGAAGTTAGCTGAATAATGTACAAATTTTCATTTCGTTTTTAATGAGAAAATTTTCATGTTCCGTAATTTTGTAATTTTAGACAAAAAACATGAAAAAATGGAGAAATATTTTATTGTGCGTGGATGTGCAAGTGGTTTAGCATCTGATCGGAAAAATAGACTGAAAATGACTTTTTTGAGCGAACTTAGCGATCGCAGCGCCTCACATAAGTGAGGTGTCCATTTTTCTGGGCAAAGAAGAAGGTTAGAGAACAGGAGAACGATCACTACGTACTAAAGCATAGCCCGCCTCTCCATTGTAGAATATATAGCGGCGCTGACGTCGGTGAGTAGTGACTGCGAAGTTAGCTGTTTATGAGTACAAGTAGATGAAGTTAGCTGAATAATGTAAATATTTTCATTTCGTTTTTAATGAGAAAATTTTCATGTTCCGTAATTTTGTAATTTTAGACAAAAAAACACGAAAAAATGGAGAAATATTTTATTGTGCGTGGATGTGCAAGTGGTTTAGCATCTGATCGGAAAAATAGACCAA